CTACTACTACTACTACTACTACTACTACTACTACTACTACTACTACTACTACTACTACTACTACTACTACTAATGATAATAATAATAATCTTATTATAAAGGAGCTAAGCCTGTTTGTGGGGTCAGTAAAAACCTTTTACACAGGTACCCATAAAATCTACCAAAAATATGATTCAGACAATTGCCCCAACGGGTTACGTAGGTATATTTTCAAACTTCGGAAACCACTTTTTGCTTTTTCAGGTTTGATGGTTTTTTCCTGTAAATCAAAGCTCTCAGATGTTTTCACTCTGCCATTAGCCATTTCATATTTTACTGGGGACTACTTCCGTTTCATATTGTGCTTCTTCGTGCTTGTGAATAGTTCTCAAGAATAGAAGTGCGATTTGTGCTTTGTCGTGAGTGTGCCACATTCTACTTTTTTGGAGCAGTTAGCAAGAAGAGAATAAGTGCCGTTTGTTTTTTGTCGTGTGTATATACCACATAGTTCTATTTCAGCTGCTTCTATTGGCTCACGGAATACCAGTTAAAAAAAAAAAGAAGCAAAACTTGGGACTACTTCCGTTTCATATTGTGCTTCATCGAGTACATGGATCAAGTTTCACATCTTATCAAGACGCATGCAACCAACTTGGTGACACTGAGAAGGATTCAGCAATGCAAGATTTGGACCCCAGTTACGTCTTGCCTTTACAACCATTCTCATCTATAGTCGCCCAGCTGATCCTCTCTCATTTTGGCACAAGCCCAAATTGAAACTGTGCCAGGACATCATAATGAGACACAAGGTCACAGAGTTGAATCCGCAGATTGAGAACCAAGTGTTGCTAGAACTTCGGCACCTTTTTGATAATGATGGGTTGAATCTGCATAAAGACTTTCAGCTGCCGCCTGCATAAGACAGTCACGTTGAATTGTCCACGAGGAGTTAAATTTTGACACAAAAAACCTGCGAGCGAAGGTGAGTCAAGAGTACCCAAAGCTTAATGAAGAACAAAGAGTCGTGTATAATGCTGTGATAGAGTCAGTTGTACATAGGCAAGGCAAGATATTTGCCCTCTAGGCACGTAGAGCGACTGGAAAAACCCACACTATAAACCTGATTATTGCAGCTGTCCGTTCCTTTAAGAAGATCGCCCTTGCTACAGTTCTGTCAGGCATTGCAGCAACTCTGCTCTCAAATGGCAGAACATTACACAGCAGATGCAAAATACCTCTGTGTGTGAACGAATAGTCCATGTGCTGTGTGAGCACCCCGAGATGCCAGTGACACTTTATTACGCCAAACAGAGCTGCTCGTCATTGATGAAGTATCGATGGGCCACAAATACATCTTTAAAGCCATAGACCGAGCACTTCAAGCCATATGTGGGAATAACTCTCTGTTCCGTGGGCTAACTGTGCTGATGTCGGGTGACTGGTGTCAAAAACTACCAGTAGTTCGCAATGGCTCGAGATCAAATATAGTCTGTGCAACCCTGAAATCATCATATCTGTGGGAGCATGTTAATGTGCTCAGACTGACAACAAACATGAGGGTTTTGCTTAAAGATGAGACTGCTGATTTCTCCAACTATCTACTGAACATTGGTGATGGGAAACACAACTTAAGCAGGCAAATTGGGGAGTTTGCGATAAAAGTGCCAGATGGCATCACAGTGTACAGCGAACGAGAGTTGATAAATTTTGTCTTCGGTAACTTATAGTCCAACACAAATCCCGACTTGCTGGCTTCCCGCTGCATCATCTGTCCCACCAGCACAGAAATAAACAGAATCAACAACCTGATCATGCAGTCTTTTCCCGGAGAAGAAAAGTCTGAAAGAGCAGTCATTCGGTGGAAGAAAATGAACACCAAAACCACATCAAATTTATCAATTGTCTATGTCCGTCAGGTATGCCACCCCACAAACTGACATTGCCATGTTGCTGAGAAATTTGGATCCCACAAACGGCCACTGTAACGGGACTCGATATGTGGTTCAACACCTTCATCAACATGTAATTGATGTAGTCGTTGTTTGCGGTCCATATGCCGGAAAGAGACTTTTTATCCCAAGGGTTCTCTTTCATGCCTTCAGACAACATATTTCCCTTCCATATGCTACGGAAACAATTTCATTGCATAAAACGAGGAGGACAGGTTATGCCAGTGTACTCGGAAGAGGTCTCCGTCTTGTTTGTGTTTCTTCTCCAACCAAGATACTCGCCCCATAAATGTAAGTTTTGAGTTAGAATTATGCCTTTGGGCAGTGGGAAGGCTGCCCCAAATTTTGAAATGACTTTACTTTACTTTACTTTTTACTTTTTCCTTCCTCTGGAATCCTTAGGATGCCGAGGGGAGGTGCAAGTTTCGGTCCTGTGCTAGGTGTGTATCGTCTGTGAAAGATAATGTTATGTTGTTCCAGGACCTTTTTAACCCCATCCAGCCAGGTCTTTCTTGGTCTTCCTCTTGATTTGAAGCCGGATTTTCGGGTGTTGTAGGCTCTAGCCGCTTGTTGCTTCCGGGACATTCTGGTTAGCTGTCCTAACCATTTGACTCTTTGACGCTCTATGAATTTTATTATTGATGTTATTCCACGTTTGTAGACCTCTGGTTTCGTTTCTTATGCAGTCTCTTCTGGAGAAGTTGGTGGTTTTGCGGAGACACCTCATTTCGCCTGCATTTAATTTTCTTTCTTGTGCCTTGTTTAGAGACCATGTTTGGCACTGGTATGTTAATGTTGGTATGAAGATGTTATTTATGAGCTGGTATTTCCCTTCGGTAGGGATGTTCTTTTTGACTGAGCAGGGGTACTAGCCTACATAGCTCTTGTCCATGGGCCCATCTTGTGTAAAGATGCCTCCCAAATATTCAAATTCTTCTACTTGTTGGAGCTGTGTTCCACCAATAAGGATGTTGAGTTTCCCTGGGTTTCTGCTGACCTTCATAACTTCTGTTTTTGAGATGAAGATTTTCCTGTCCAGGTGTTTACATTCTTCATTTAGTTTTGTGGTGTATTTTCGTAATTCCTCTTCATCTGTATTTAATATACTCTGGTCATCAGCAAGTAGTAGCTCGTTCAGTTCAGTGATGTTGTCATTTGCTGCTTTCGTGATCTGATCTATGTAAGTGAAGAAGAGAAGCGGAGAAAGAAGACACCCTTGTCTCCCCTCAGACCTGATGGGGAACCAGTCCAATAGTCAATCTTACGCACACAGCCTGTTTTTATAAAGTGCTATGGTGTTTTCCACCAGTTGCCCTTTTACAGCATATTCTTCTTCTAAGACTTCCCAAAGTTGACATTTATTTACCCTGTCAAACGCCTTTTTCTGATCACAAAGACGATATTGAGGTCTTTGTCATGTGCAATTGAAGTCTCACACAACTGTCTTAATGTAAAAATAGCGTCCGTACAGCCCCTGCCTTTTCTGAAGCCAAACTGGGATCCACTGAGTTGAGTCTCTACTGGGTCATCCTTTTCTGCCCTCTTGTTTTCCTTGTGCCGCACTCTTTTTTTAATGCTCGTTCAGGTATGCTCTGAAGTGGCTCCATTCCTCTTCAATGAGTCCCGGTTGTTTGGGAAATTTCTGAAATATCTCTTTCATACGTTCATGTATCTTATCTTTGGTATCGTCATTCATATTTCTGAGATTCTCGACTTCTCGTCGTTTCCTTTGCTTCTGGCTTTTTCCTGTTTAGTGTGTCGATAGTCATGATGACTGGTCTGTGGTCAGTTTCTATGATGTAGTTGGGTATCACTCGTGAGTCACTGATACTTTAGATCTTTTGGCCTGGATAAAATCAATTTGAGATGCTGTCTTTAGGTCATTCCATTAGTACCAAGTTCTTGACTCCTTTTGTGTTGGAAGGAGGTATTTGATATGACGAGGTCATGGTCTGCGCATAACTCTAAAAGCATTTCTCCATTGCGTTTCGATATGTTTCTCTGTCACTGTGTGGCACCATGTATATCTTCTCCCAGGTTGGTTTCCTTGTTCCCACTCTGCCGTTTAAGTCCTCCATGATTGTCACATCATCTTTGTCATCCATGGTGTTTAAAAGATCACTCAGTTGATCATAGAACTGTTGTCGCTGTTCTTCGAGGTATGAGTCATTGCATGGTGCGTATATCTGTTATTATAATGTAAGTGTGATTGTTTTACCTCTCCTGACATTTTCATCATGATGATCCGCTCTGAGATATACTTAACATCTGTTATGCATTTTGCTCTTTCTGGGTGAACAGTAAAGCCCACTACATGTTTTGCTTTTTCCGTTCCTTTTGTTCCGCTCCAAAGTATGATGTAGTTCTTGTACACCTGTTTGCTGTTGGACTTCTTTTTCCTGACATCAGCAATTCCCAGGATCTCAATCTTTCTAGCTCCATACTTAACTTACTTTTACTTTTTCATTCTCTGTTGTCGTTAAGTGTCGAAGGGAAATGCAGTTTTCTATGGTAGGCCTGCTCCGCAGCTCTTTCAGTTGTGATGTTAAGTTTTTGTAGGGTTTCCTTGACACCCTCGATCCAACTTTTGCGTGGCCTTCTTCTTCCTTTATAGCCTGAGTGCTTAGTGTTGTCGGCTCTCCAGGCTGTCTGGTCAGGTGACATGCGTAACAGGTGGCCAAACCATTTTATCCTTTGTCTTTCTATGTGACGCAAACAGGACTCAGTGCCGATAGCTGCTCTTACTTCTTCATTTCTCATCCTGTCTCGTCTTGTGACGTTTAGGGTTTTGCGGAGACATTTCATTTCGCAAGCGGTGATTTTGCTTTCATGGGTTTTGTTTAAAGTCCAGGTCTGGCAATGATAACTTAATGTTGGTATGGATATTGAGGTGATAAGCGGTCTCTTTGTGTCCATGGAGATGTTTGGATGAGATAAGAGGGGTGCGAGCCGGTAGGTGACAGCGTTGGCTTTTTGAATTCGCATTTCTATTTCTCTGTCTATGGATCCGTTTTCAGAAAAAGTGCTGCCAAGACATTTAAACTCCTTCACCTGTTTCAGTTGTTTACCATTGACATGGATGTTCAGGGGACTATGGTTTCGACTCAATTTCATAACTTGTGTTTTTGATGTGCTTATTTTCATGTGGAATTTCTCACAGCTAATGTTGAGTTCAGTAGTGTGGTTTAGAAGGCTTTGTTGGTAATGAAGAATAAGACATAGGTCGTCTGCGAACAAACATTCATTTAGGCTTTCTGGGCTTTAGTTTGCGGCGTCTTGCCTTATTGAGTTAATATATATTATAAACAGGAGGGGAGACAGAACGCATCCCTGTCGTACTCCAGATCTTACTTTGAACAAGTCTGTATTGCCTTCCTCCGTTTTTACTGACGCCATAGTTTTCGAGTGTCTTCCTGAGTTTTGCATGGTTTACTCTGTCAAAAGCCTTCTCCTAGTCTATAAAGACAAAGCTGGATTCTTTGTTGTGTTCGATTGTTTTCTCACATATCTGTCGTAATGCGAATACAGCATCTGTGCATCCTCTTCCCTTTCGGAATCCAAACTGAGCTTTGCTCAGATTTCTCTCTACAATGGGTCTTATGCGCTGCTCTAGTATCTTTGCGTATATTTTCCCAGAGTGGCTTAACGAGGAGATGCTTCTGTAGGTTGTGCAGTCGCATTTGTTGCCATAATGGTACCTCTATGGCTGTCTGCCGGTCTTCTGGGAGTTTTCTTTGCTCCCAGGCTCTGTTGAGAATTCGCCTCAGCCACAGTATACCGGTGTTTCCACAAGCTCTTATGGCTTCCGTTGTGATGCCATCTGGTTCTAGGGCTTTGTTCTTAGGGCTAGATTTGAGTGCCTTTTCTATTTCATTGAGTGAGTGAGTGAGTGAGGGGGAGAGAGAGAGAGAGAGAGAGAGAGAGAGAGAGAGAGAGAGAGAGAGAGAGAGAGAGAGAGAGAGAGAGAGAGAGGCAGACAGACAGAGAGAGAGAGGGGGGAGGGAGGGAGGGAGAGAGTGAGAGAATACGACAGACAGAGAGAGAGAGAGAGAGAGGGGAGAGAGAGAGAGAGAGAGAGAGAGAGAGAGAGAGAGAGAGAGAGAGAGAGAGAGAGAGAGAGAGCCGTGGAGGCCTACCCAGGTCACCCCGAAACGTTGCCTACAGTCACCCCGAAACGTTGCTTACTGAAGGGGCTCTGGTGAAACCGTGAATGGCCTTGCAAGCCGACGGCGGATAATTGCTACTACGAAACAATCAAAGGAGAAAACACGGACAGATTCTAGCTGCATGAAATCAATAGTTTGTGGTTCCTTGTTTCCTTATCCGCATACATTCCATGTTCCAATTTTCGTTGTTCTATCCCAAGTCCGTTTGACGTTTCTATTCCTTTTTTCGCTAGAGTCTGAAAATTTCTTTTCCTGTTTTCTTTGGTTTTTAGCAGTTTGAAATGACAATTACAATAAACACATGCTAATAGGACATTTTGTTTTATTGCTTACAGGTGAAACTTGTTCGACGATGGAACATGGGCCTCTGAAACAGCGCGCTCTAAGAAATTCACGGATTCGACTGCTTTTAAAGGAAAAGTGGGCAGAGGTCGACAAGGACTCCTGCCACCACTGCAGTCCAGTTCCTGTGCAGAATACTGCTTAAATCAATGCACTGGCTTGTGAAAGTGCTTCGGTGACTACCCCACCAGTCGATTTTTTTGTAAGTGTTTTACGGCGCTCGAAACTGCATGAGGTCATATGAGCGTGGGAGACACATCAAACATTTTCAGTTGGTAGGAAATTTTGAACTTTGTCCTGGTGGCGACCGAAGCCTACTCTTATCGATTTTGGACCGCCAAGGGATCTTTAACGTGCGCAACTTGCAAACGGGACCTCCGAGATCTTTCGCCCTTGTACAAGAAGGCTAGATTTAGATCTTTTCTACCATAAGGTCAAGGGTGTGGCTGAAAGACAGAAGTAAGAAGGAGCCAAGGAGTAGCAATAGAAAGGCTGCAGAAAGAGTCAGGAGCTCAGAGGAGGGGGTCAAAGAAGGTGAGGGGAGAAAGTGTAGAGGAAAGCAGACAACAGAACATTGTTACAGAGCAGGAAAAGAAGTGAAAAGAGAAAATTTTAGAGAAGAAAAAATTCCGTCGCTATCCGAATTCAAACTCGGGACCTATTGAATTAGAGGCGAATACCTTAAACCTCTAGGCCACGAGAGCTCTCCACCAGTCGATGAAAACACGCTAGTTTCTCCACCAGCTTCTTCCTCACCGCTTCTCAAAGCTGGACTACAACACTTTCATTGAAGAATCTACAGGGAACCACCATGAAAATCTTACAACAACTGAGCTACATCTTCAGACGCTAGCAAAGCTTTTTCACAATGTGTTTTGTGGTGACTGCAAAGAATCAATTTCATTGAAACCAGACAATATTGCCAATCGTGGGTTTGCTGACATTGACAGATAGGGTTGTTCCTCTTATGAACCTGGGGCTAGGGCTATTGTTTCATCTTGAAGTGCAGCTAGTGTGAATGTGAAGTGAGGTTTAAAGGATGTAGTTTTTGTAGGTATAAACGATTAGCCTTTTTAAAGATAGGCGTTTTTGCGCTCCCATTCTCATAATTTAGATTATTTAGGAGGCGGGCTTCTGACCCTGCCTGTCAAGGCTAACCTGGGTGGAGAGGGAAACGACATCCCAGCAGAAAGACTGAGATCCTGGTACTGGGTAAACATTTCTTCCCACTAGAGAATTGAATTCGGGTCTCCTGAGTGTAGCAACAAGGTGTCTAACCGCTACACCATGGGCGATTTCGTAAAAAAGGGCATTTTTGACTACATCACTAAGTATATAATATCCCAAGGCACTGTGTTCATCCTTTATAATATTCCAGTGCGTTTTGGTATAAAAGTAAAATCCCTACTCATTCGCAGGAAGGGTATTTAAAAAGTGTTTGAGGATGGTATTTGGGGTTTTAGTTGATGGCATAAAAAAAAAATCTCATTGCTTTACATGAATTATTCATTGGATGCATATTTCAGACATATCAAATACGTGAATAAAGTACTCAAATTCCATGTTTTAGAATACTGTGCTGCAAAGAGACCAGTATGAATTCAGATTATTTGGGGTTGTTTTTTTCTCTGATAATGACAGATAGAACATTCGGGCTAGGTGGGGGTGAAGGTGAAGTAAATATATTCGGAGTCATCACAACAACAGTACTCACTTCCTCGCATAAGTGTCCGCATCATCTGCATGTTGGAACTCGAGCCCTGTGGGTTTCCGCCAGCGCTACTGCTGTCCTCGTCTTCATCGTCATCATCGTTGTTGTTGTTGTTGTTGTTGTTGTTGGCGTTAGGTGTATCCGTGTTGCCTGTTGACGAAGTGCCTGTGGGTGGTATGTTCGGATTCCTCGGCCTACTACCCCGGAGCAGTGTAGCTGGGTTCATTTCGACTGCAATTAAGTAAATGTAAATATTTATCATCATCATCATCATCATCATCATCATCATCATCATCATCATCATCATCATCATCATCATCATCATCATCATCATCATGAGTAAAACGCATTCTCACAGGTTTCAGTTGTAGGCTCATCATCAGTCCGTTCTGGCTTCAGGAGGAGAACGATAAAAACCAACAAAGTTACAACCGAACATGGTGACGAAGGTTGGCACAAACTAAATGTCCCCAGAACGGAGACTGAGCCAACAATTTTGGTACATTTTCTGCGACAAACATTGATTCCATCAGGAACAGGATAGAGGGCGCCCACCTCCAGTGGCGGTGGGTAGTGAAGGGCCAACGGGTTTGATCCCCCCCCCCCCAACTCTATCCCAAAGTAAATGAAAGTTTCTTAAATTTCGAGTAAGAGTAAGCAGTTGCAACCGCTATGATCACACACAATGAACACAAAGTGATCGACTTGGAGGGTTGCTCGTTCATCCAATCATTGTTATTACCGCTTACAGCTATAGTAACCGAACAGCCAATCAAATCTCTTTACGGTTCAGCAGAGCTGAGCCCTTCCCCACGCCCCTTCTGTAATAAAACTCTTCTGGTAAAAAGGTAGAAGACTGGAAAAAAGAACACTGTACTGAGGACTCACGCTCTCCTAGCTCTGACAATGGGATGGAAATATACGACACACTTTCCCCCAGTGACACAGATACCTATGCTCTCATTGGACCTTTGTTAGGTACGTTCTACTTTCCGTGACTACACAGCCTTATCTAGCTCATAGACAGCGGTGAAGTGTTATGTGAGAATGTTGGTGTTTGTGCCACTGAGATTTAACAGTTATGAATCACGTCGACCACTTTTAAGGCAACTTTTTTAACCCAGAAGTATCTAACTTAAAACAAAGAGATGGAAGACAAAGATGTCTCTTCTCGTTTGAATAGTTCACAAAATGCTGTGGCTCACTGTGAGTAAAGGAAAATCAGTACTATATTCAGGTCTTATTGCTTGCAATTTCGTGGTAAAGAAGTGGAAGCTAACTAAGCCCAACCCAAATTTTGGTCCACCCACCGCCAAAGCCCACCTCGTGACACAATGGAGTAGAGGATGACGGGACTAACATTAACTCCAAGAAACACTTACTGAAGTTGATGGTACTTATTCCTGTTAATCCCTTTTCGATCTTCTATTTCTAATCTAGAATTATGTTCTGTATTCACATATGTGCTGCAACAAACATCATGAACCTCTTCTTCACCAACAACACCAGCATCATAACGTCATCAATACGCTTGCAATCGTTCCTACTATTTGCATAGCTGGAAGTATACAACATCATTACCTGGAATACCGGGCGGTATCATCTCTGACTCAGAGGTTGACCCTCCACCCCTCACGATCACGACCTGCTATATCCAGGCCGGTCCAAGTTTTCGTGTTGTCCATAATTCATTAATCGTGAGGTTCTTAATAGCAAGATTCTGATGATAACTATCCCCAACCTACTCTTAACGTGCAGAATTTCGGACAGTTTCAAGGAAGGACGTACACGTAAATCTTAAATAGCAAAAGTAATAGTGCACAATCTACAAAGAATAACAAAACAGCAACCTAAAAGTACCTAATCAGAACCGTGTGTTGACATACAGCTTACACACCGGGCGCACAAAGTAATACTGATCAGATGGCTTCAATTTGATAGGAATGGG